TACGCACGCACGCACGCACGCACGCACGCACGCACGCACGCACGCACGCACGCACGCACGCACGCACGCACACACACACACACAGAGGATTTCCATCCTAGTGAAAAATATATAAGAGCAAAGTTGTAAGACTTCAAAAATCTACCTAACTGATAAGAGTTGATCTTGAATGCATATGAAGGTCAAGTTGAATTTTTTAAACAGACCTTCCCTCTTTTTATTATAGTTGTTATATTACATAGTCTTATAGTTTATTTTAAGAGCTTTTCAAAACACTATAATAAAATATTTTTTCATTAAGTATTTTTCGAGTTATAAGGCTTGAAAGTCGTCGGCATTAGCATTACGCAAGGTATCCGACGGATGGTTAAAACCTCCTAAAATTTCTCCTGGATAACATTTGTTAAGATCAAGGCCATTGGAGATTATTCCTCTTATTTTCACTTTTATTAAAATTCATTTTAAAATAAAAGTGAAAAATAAAGTCAAAAAATGAAAATCAGAGATATAACCTCCTGGCCTTGATTTTGATTTTGAAATGTTATCCAGAACATGATCCTGAATGATATTCAAAAGGTTTTAGCCAACTTGCTAATGCTAATGCAAGCGTTACTGTAACTTTCTTATAACTTGAAAAGTACTTTATGAAAAATTATTTTATTATAACTTGAAAAGTACTTTATGAAAAATTATTTTATTATAGTGGAAAGTTTTCGAGGTGTGCTATAAGAATATGCAATAAAAATAGGGAGTTCCATAAAAAAATTCAACTTGATCTTCAGATTCCCCCCATAATCAACCTTTTATCATCAGTTAGATAGATTTTTTGAAGTCCTACAACTTTGCTCTTAATATTTTTCACTAGAGTTGATCGTTTCCGAAATATTTTAGCATTTCCAGACTTTTTGAAAATTCTGTGTATATATATATATAAATTTTATATACAGATACACACAAACACACGAGGTGTTCTTAGAATAACTATTTCTTTTATAATAAGATTTCTTTTTAAGTATTAATAATGAGGCAATAATAATTTATAAAGAAATAAATAATAAAAATCAAGAATATTTATACTACAAGAGAATTGATCTCAAATTAGTTATTCCATGGATAAAAAAACATGCAGAAAATTTAGAAAATCCTATATATATGCTATTATATTATTAGAAATTACATTCCTTAAGTTTCAATAAACGCGAGATATTTCATTTTTATTATAAATTATATTTAAATATTGCAAAAGAAAGCTGTGTCAATGATACTGACCGTGATCGTCAAAGTGCTTTTCATAATCAGCCTCGCTCCATTGAGTTTCATGAGTGGTGGTTGCATCGTGTGGTAAAGGACGCGGTAATGCGCTTGTCGAGCGTACTATTAACGAAGAACAACGTAACGACAATTCAAGTGCATCCAACCAACATTTGCCTGCCGCTTGAGATGGCGCTCGAAAGATTAAGTAAGATGTTGGTAAAGGTTGTACTACAGCACCTGAAAAATATTAATTTGCAATTGTAAAATTGCAAATTA